CCCCCCCCCCCCAAGCGCCCCGCGCCCAGAGCGCGGGCGGCCAATCCGCGGCACTCCCGGGGCCGGCGCTTACCGTGCGCCATGTGCCCGGGGCTAGGCCAGCCCCGAGCACTTGGCGGGCGCATACAAATGCCCCCGCGGGCACCATGGCGCCCGCGGGCACCGTGTTGGGGACCACGGCTGTATACAATAATGATATACCCCCCCCCCCCAAGCGCCCCGCGCCCAGAGCGCGGGCGGCCAATCCGCGGCACTCCCGGGGCCGGCGCTTACCGTGCGCCATGTGCCCGGGGCTAGGCCAGCCCCGAGCACTTGGCGGGCGCATACAAATGCCCCCGCGGGCACCATGGCGCCCGCGGGCACCGTGTTGGGGACCACGGCTGTATACAATAATGATATAACTATGAAGAGAGACAAGAAACCCAGTCACAGAATACGCCTTCAAACTCCTCCATAATGGCTGAAAAAAAAGCAAACCAATCCTAGTCAAAGTTCAAAAAGCTGGTATGTCTACAGAACTCACTGCTCTGTGGCTGTCTTACCACCTGCACTGTAACTATAAAAGGCAGTTCTCTATTAAGGCATTTACTGGACGCCAATCAACATAAATTAAAGTTCTAGTCACACAATGATGAATAAATTCTTCCTAGAAGCCTCAAATTCCTATAAATGTTTTCCACCCATTGGCACCTTCATATAAAGAACCAAAAGAGATATCCTAAGCTTCCACCAGAATCATTGCAAGATCTCTAGCAATCACTGTAGAAATAGATGAATTGTTTTACTGTGTCTTGTAGGCCAGTGTTTTTTAACCTTTTTTTATAAAGTACCACTTAAACAAAAATTATAAGTTCCCCCAGTACCTACAGTTTTCAGACAAATTTTTTTTCTACCATTGCAACACATTTGTTTAAACAACTTAATCGTAGCAGGCGATGAAATTTTTGGGTGTAAAAAATAGAAAAATAATAAAGCACTATAAAACTTAAAAATTCAGTTTTCTTCAAGTTTCAGTTGTGTTGATGTACCCCTAAGAGTACTTGTACCACTAGTTGAGAAACACTGTTGTAAGCTATGTATTTAAATTTTTAAGTAAATGTTCTCAGCTAAAAGTATACTATTTCATTAAAATTCTGAAAACATTGTTTTTTCAAACAATTTAACAAATTTATTACAAGTGACAGCATATTTATTGCATGTGTGAGCAAATGACTCAAGACAGCTAGATTTACACAAAAGAATTTATAGTTAAAATTTCTGTTTCAAAATTCTTCTGAAGCAGTTTGTATAGTCATTCCGGTAGGCTAGCCTTTGCAATTGTCAAATCCTTCATCTACCGCATAATTTTGAAGATCATACTTTATAAGTAACTGCCTGAACAGATGGACATTACAAGAACTAAGCAGCTATATTATAAAATAGGCTGCAGAATGAGAAACGGTGGCGTTAAGTATTTGACAAAATTTAAAATGGAGAAATTTGTTGGTTCTGTCTTCAAGGATTGGAGGTACTTGAATTAGTTATGTTAGATAAAAGACTCACCTGATAGGAAATTATGTACAAGTGTAATTATCACACCTCTCCTGTGAAAATGCTCCTGTTGAGAGACTGGATGATCATTAGTAATGGGATACAAAGCATTTCCTCTCAGAATCCAAGTGCCAGTGTGACCCAGGTGAGTAGTGATCAGAAGTTACCAAAGGGTGGCATTTTTATATCTTACTAGTTGATTTACCCAGCATTGCTTGGGTCCTAAATCAAATAAATTTTATTTTTCTCATTTAAATCATTGGGGTGGGACTGTGGGTGAAGGGCAGGCTGCCCCGGGGAGAGAGGACGAAATGCAGCCTTCTCTCACCGCAGCAACTTGGGGCCAGGTGAGAAGCACCAGTCCATGGCCACAGCAGCTGCAAGTGGGCACAGCCGGGGAGAAGTGCATGTCCCCTGGATGGGGAACAGACAGACACACACACACTTTCTGGCCCTTACTGCCCGCGGTGGCCATTCTACAGTATATCTCCCTACTACTAGCCCCCTACCTTTCCATTTTACGAGAAAAACAAATTCCAGGCACATCCCATTGTCTTGGCACAACCAACCCTGACTTTAAGTTATGATAAAAGGAAACTGTATATCAAATTTGGTGATCCTAGCTCTTATCGTTTAGGAGTTCTTGAACAAAAGGACCACACACTTTCTGGCCCTTACTGCCCGCGGTGGCCATTCTACAGTATATCTCCCTACTACTAGCCCCCTACCTTTCCATTTTACGAGAAAAACAAATTCCAGGCACATCCCATTGTCTTGGCACAACCAACCCTGACTTTAAGTTATGATAAAAGGAAACTGTATATCAAATTTGGTGATCCTAGCTCTTATCGTTTAGGAGTTCTTGAACAAAAGGACTCACAGATGGATGGAAAGACAGACACGCATTTCTAAAATATATAGTAAGAAGATCTGAAAAGAGTATCACCTCACTTCAGGTTCTGTTGAATGGAGGTCAACATCATGAAGCATTAATGAGCTGCATATGCTGTCAGTCAAAGACAGACCAAATACAGGTAACATCCTACCTTGTCACATGAAGAGGAAGTCTCTCTGTATCAGTGTTGCCATGACAATAGCATACCTCAGGAACACAAAAACTGCCATGGATTAGGGATGTTAGATGGCAGGAATTTGAACAGCCTTGTAACCGCATGAAATCTTTGCAGTTACATGACTACTCACTCCCAGGGAGCCTCCTACCAACGTGCACTGCTGCCTCTGATACAGCGGCAACAAGGGTCGGGGGGACGGGGAGAGAGAGATGCAAGTAGTCAACAAGATTAACTGATAAGCTTAGGCTTATTGGTTAATCATCTAGTCAACTACTTGCTAACATCCCTACCAAGGATGGAGGTTTCTTTGTATTTCTGAAACACACAAAACTGCCAAGGAAGACATTCAAGAATCCATATTTGCCTGTGAATCAACATCAGGTAACAAGGAGCAAGTTGTTTGTCAATGCGTCTACTGGACTTTCAGTGACATCAATGGGAGCAGTGTGCATCCACAGGCAGTCAGCATATTAAGAGTGATTGGCAGGTATTTACTGCTTTCCTTACATTGTTTTAGCTGCTTTGCTTTGACAGAGAGACACAAGAAATCTCAACTCAAGTCCTGGTAAGTAAATACAGAGGAAGTGATTTTCAATTATTTTGTTTCTGAAGTTTACATGCTTCACTAATTTGAGATCTTAAACAGTCTTTTCAACTCTGCTTTTCTGAACTAAACCAAAGCATCTCAGTTCTCCTTTAAAAAGTTATTTTTAGGTTAGACTGCAGTATCGAGGATTAATTGCTCCTTTCATATTTGATGCCAGGATACTTGTTCTTCAGTTGTAGAGAAGAAGCATGTGAGGAACAACCACCAGTGGAAGAAAGCGCTGAATTAATATCGCTTTCCTTCTCACTGTGCAGAGGTTGTTTTCAGTGGCATGGGGTTGTCTGGGGTTCAGCATCTACAATATTCACTACTAAAACATAGGATGAGTGCAAAACAATCAGGAAAAATAATCATTCCCTGCTTGTGGCACATAACTGTCAAGCATTCTGGGTTTATTCCAGATGCAATCCATTCCAAGCATCAAAGATGTTCAAATGAGCTACTAATATAATAGAAAATCAAAGATTCAAAGACCCCAATTCAATCAGAAATTGACTTCTAATTCCAGTCACTGCTCAGCTTTGGAGGGTGGAGGGGGAGATAGGATGTGCGTGCGAGTGTGTGTTTTTAAACCTTAAGCAAAACAACGATGGAGATTTCATCCAGCAACACAACAGGAACCTCTGTTTCTATACAAAGGAAAGCTGAATTGCCCAAGCAGAAAATCTACAAAATAAAAATCTTTAAAGGGAAGCTGAAGAATAAATAAAACTGGCATTTTTAAATAAAACCAAACAATCCTTGAAAATATTAGGAAACATTTTTATAAAAAAATACTGGAAGAAATATCACTATTCAACACTTCACAAGACATTTATAAAAGTTCAGTAGATGAGAAGTACAAGACACCTAGAGCCAAATTCTAGCCCAGATGAAGTCCATAGCAAAATCCCCTGGACTGTAGTGAGGCCAGGATTTATTCATATGCATCAAGTACTGTACAACCAGTTTACAGAGCTGGCTTTTCTATGAACAAATACCACACAGCTGCAACACGTGTGAATCACTTTCTCTTTAGAAGCTGTATTCTGGAGATGATTTCCTATAAGACGTTCTCGGCACCTCATCACTTACTGTTTAAAGATCCGCTGGCAAAGCAAAGCTAAAACACGATTTTTCAGTTACTGAACATAGTGTTTACAAGGTGAAATGTATCCAGATTTCTCTAGAAGCGCTTTTCATGGCTTTCTCCCCTTTCTCCAAATACTACCTCAATGGGGCTGTTTCAGTATTCATACTGAATTTACTGTAATAAAACTTGGCTTTCCCTAGTCATGAACAACACAGTTAACAAGCACTGGGCAAGACTCTCTACTTAAAAACAATACATGTCTATGTAAACAGAAGTTCTAGATCAAATATGGATCACTGCCACTTTCTGCTTTCCGTAAAGCATTAGAAAGAAGTGACAACATAGAATTGTTTCTTGTTTTTCAATCCAAACAGCAAAGATAAAAGTGTTTTAAATATATCTGACAAGTCAAAAATAAAAATACTAGAAAATTACTCCCAGGAATGAGTGGGGAAATTTAAAACAAATAGAAAAAATAGAGCTCTATTTATTCAATATTACACCAGTTTACTTATGAATCTAGGGGAGGAAGAAAGAGATGCCAGTATGGACAGCTTTTTTCCTTCCATAAATACAATGCAAGTCTATATCATCATCATGCAAAATCAAATTGCATTTCTGAGTCCTGACCCATTATATTGGCAAAAGAAACTAATATCTACATGAAGTATAAAGGGTGATTTGTTCAGAGTTTAAAGGGAAGTGTTAAAGTAAAAAAAAAAATTAAAAAAATAGTTTTTTAAATTGAAAAAGATCAAAGCAAATGACTCCTCTTCAATTCTTATTCACAGCTTGGGAAGATAACCTCTTCTTGATGTTCCCAGTCTGCTCTGCCATCCTTCCTGGTGAATGAAAGCTGTCAGAAGGCATTTTAGCTCTTTGCCATCAGATTCTGTATCCCATCTGCCAAGTACAGTGATGTGCTAAATGTGGGCAGGCAAAGTATCTGAAACTGCTTGCAGAAAGCATAAGCAATTAAAAAAAAAAGTCATCTTGACCCTAGTTGCTGGAATGACTCCCCTTAGTAAAAACAAGACTTAAAAAAAAGATACAGAGAAAAAAAGGCATAGGACCAGAGAGAGAACTAATGACTCAAATGTAATCAGCGTGGGGGAAAACCACCCCGGTGAGTGCCTCCACGGCCCCCTCTGAATCCACCTCTTTCACCTCGGAAATTAGTTCTATTTCTTTCTCTGCCTCTCTCTCCCCGACCAGCTGAAGTTCCGCCTCTTCCTCCTCCTCTGGGTGCTCCACCTCCTCGGTCTGACTTGGATTTTGGAGGTGGAGATTTAGGTCGAAGTCTCTCAATCTCTTCCGTACAACCAGTGAGATGAGAATTTGGAGCAGTGAAGTATGAGGCATAGGTTTCTGCATTGAAATTACTGTTTGTGAGAGTGGGTCCCACGGTCAGCCAGCCTAAAGAAAATAAAAACCCACACAAGGTAGAAGATTAGCAAGAGCAACAAACTAAATGTTATGCTTTAAGGACATACTCAATTTTCTTAACATCTTTGTGTGGATGTTAACCAAAGGTCTAAGTTGACAGCAATGTTTTCTGAAAAACAATTCTGTTAGGTCTATGAGAAGCCGTGTGAACTCTTCTTAAAAATAGAAATGTGCATGGGAAAGTTGCCAACTTGTGGAAACATGAACATTTCAGTTTGAAATGTACACCAGTATCAATACCAAGGCAGGCGAGGTAATATCTTTTCTTGGACAAACTTCTACTGGTGAGAGACAAGCTTTTGAGATTCACAGAGCTCTTCTCTTTCATTAACAGAAATTGGTCCAATAAAAGATATCACCTCACCCGCCTTGCATGTCTCATATCCTGGGATAAATACAGCTACAGAAACACTGCAAACAACTGGGCTGAAAAGGCATGTATGTGAATGTGTAGTCCTCATATTAACTAATTTATGTAAAAATGAAGATATCAGTCAGGGAAAATGAAGTTACCAGAAAGACATTGAAGAGTAAGAGTGCACCTCATGATTCTACAAGCTAAATAAGTTGCCCAGTATTTTACTCACCAAAGAATTCCTGAAAATGGAACTTACAATTAAACATCACTTACAAATAAAAAAGATGGGGCTTAATGGACTCAGTGCCAGCAGCAAGGAACAAATTAAAATCTGAGCTCTAATACTGACTTCCTGGCCTTTGCAAAAGTCAACTAAAAGTTTGCATCACTGACCCCAGCTCCCAATTTTAAAATAGGGAATAAAAATACTAGGTTAGGTTTACAATAGGGATGCAAAATCCCTATCAGTTAACCTGCTAAATGTTAGGTTAACATTAATTATCTTACCCATTACAAAGATAGCTTCCCCAATTATCACCTCTAATATCATTAGCTCACAGACATTTACCTTCCCCTCTGCCCCCCATTCCTCTTCTGTTCTTAAATTTGATTTGTCCTTTTCATATGTGTTCACTTTTTTTTTTAAATTGTATCCTTTGGTATATATGGTTGTGACAATTTTCTTCCACTATTTGATCTGAGGAAGTGGGTCTGGCCCACGAAAGCTCATCACCTAATAAACCATCTTGTTAGTCTTTAAAGTGTTACATAGTCCTGTTTTTTGTTTCAGCTACACCAGACTAACACGGCTACATTTCTATCACAGGTTAACCTAATGTTTATCTAGTTAACTAAGCAGAATCCTGAGCAGGGGACCACTCCAATCCGGCTGAAGCAGCCACCAGCCATGCAGGGCCAGCTCACATCCCTAACCACCAGTCATGTGGGGCTGACTGGTAGGGCTGGCTCCTGTCCCAGCCTCCAGCCGCATGGACGGTGGCCCCACACAGGGGTCCAGTGGGCAAGGACAGCTCTTAGGAAACCAGTTAACTATTACCTGGTAAGCATCACCCCATAAAGATGATATTAACCGGTTACCCGCTCACATCCCTAGTTTACAGCTGTCAGAGTGTTGTAAGAATTTCTTAGCAGTTGTTTGAAAAGCATTCTGAAAATGAAAAATGTTACTTAAATGCTAATCATCACTGGCAAGTAACAGTGTGCTCTGCTAATTTTTGTCATTGCCTGAATTAACAAAAGAGAGGTGCCACTGTTAGTCTAGTGAGCCAATCATATCATCATTAATTCCAAAGAACATGAGGACCTTATCACTAGCTTAAAACACAGAAACAGCCCACTAGGTGAAGATACCATGAGATGAACTAAGTTACGTGAATCTCTGCAGTACTGACAGAAAGAAGCCTCAAGGGCACAATGTTGTCTCTTTCTCAAAGACATATATAACGAACCAAATGAAGACTGAGGCCACCATATAGAGAACATTAGAAGGCTGGCTAGATATAATAAAAGCTGGTTAGTCATTTATGTAACAAGTTATTGGGGAAGCCAGACTACAGTTTTGGAAAGGGCTCAGAATGCACTGTTTTCTGTTGTATCATTCTCCTTTCAACCTTAAATGGACTAACTTTGTTTTTATAAGCAAGCCTTACCTCTTATAAATGGCATAACACGTCTAACTAATGTAATACACTTTCCTAGTTTATTCAAACAAAGTCACTTCCATTTAGTCCAATACATTGTTTAAATGAGAAAGATACTTAGAGTCAAATCACAGCTTGGAAGTTTCCCTGAAAATATGCATCTTTTTAATAAATGTGTTACTATCCTGAACAAGTTGTTTTAATATCCAAAGCTCAGACTAATGAGATAGACAATCTCATTAGCACAGTCATTAACCAGGGAATGACAAACAGTGAAAGTAAAAGCAAGAGTTAGCTGATTTTAACCATTTTAAGAATATTGCCAGATAGCAACCATTCCTCTGGCAACAAAAATGTTTTTGAAAACTAAATAAAGTCAGTTGTCAAAATCCAATTTGTATTATGCCCTATAATGATAAAATACCATCTACTAGTGGTGTGAAATTTGGTAAAAGTGTGCACAAGAATGAATTTTATTCTACGTCAATATATTTTTCCTAATGAAACTGCATTTCATATAGGAAAGTGATGAAAGGAAGGGTCCAGGGCAGAGGAAATGTGCAAGACTCTAAACAAAGGAACCTCTGAAAGTGTGATGCAAGCACTGGTAATTTCTAGACTAGTCACATAGTAGATATTCTAGTTTTAGATTTGGAGCTGCTACAGGGATGTGTTTTAAAGTGCTGGCAATACCATTCAAGCTCGGACAGCTATTCAAATTAGAGTTAAAATAGCTTTTGAACAAGATGGCCCTGATAAGATGTAAAAGATGGTTCTGACAAGATACCAGTCATAGTATTTTATCTGACATTAGCTCAGCAATAATGAGTAAGGCCACTTAGAGCTGGTGAGGATGTCTTCCGTATGTTTAAAGGAAGGCATTTCTCCCTTCTCTAAAAGCAATGGCTGACGCTTTCCAGATTTAGCTTCTTTTTAGTGATTGCCTGCTTGGTTGGTGATGTGGGAGGAAATCTGTTCTTAATTTATTTGAAATCTAACACCGACCCAGGACATATCTGTCTAAAAAGCTCTTTAGGATATTCACACTAATTAGAATTTACAACCAGCAGCGAGTAGTATTTCCTGCATTGCACATGATGAAGACATTCACTTTCCAAAGCTGCTATGGAATCTGCTGTTGTAACTCTTTTTTAAAATGAATTCTGACAAGAGGGAAGACATCAAAATGGCTTTAAAAAAAAGGTATAATGTGTTTTTAGTTTTCCAAGTGAGAGCCTGAACTGTTTAAACACAGACAGTACACTAAAAAGATATTATGAGAAAGCTTGTAAGCTGGAGTCACAGCATTTTGTTCATTTTTGAAAGTAGACACAAATACCTGTACATTTATAAAAAAACAACTTACTGGTGAGCAGTGCTAAGTTGGATTCTTGATCTATTGCTATACCGCTCACTGATGGCCACATGAGCAGCAGCAGAAGGTATCGCCCTAGAAATAAAATAGCCAACACCCCACTCCAGCAAGGGAGGTGAAAGTACATCCCTTTTTTGTGTGCATAGTATTCCATCTACAGGTACAATCCTAATCCGCATTTGTAAGTGCCTCTCCTATTCTGATCAATAGTGAGGGGCAATAGCCCATGACTAATACTAGGATCTAATCCCTATGTTTCTTCACTGTTGGTAGAGGTCCCCAAATATACATGACTTCTTCCCACTTCACAATCACCAGGACCTTTTGTTTGCAAAATGGAAGTGTTCTGCCCAACGGTTCCTGCTGGATGAGCTCCATTTTGGAAACATCACTAAGAAATTTTCTGTTGGCCACAGCTTCGAGTCAAACAAGGATTACTGAAATCCATTTTATTGGAGTTTTTAAAGAGAACATGCTGTCTGTGACTAGTGCAGACCTAAGCAATATAAATGTACATTAGACTAAGGATATTAAATGCAATTATTTGGCTAATCGTATAGTTGATACAATTAGTCGATAAGCACCTCTGCAGAGCCACAGCAGGGGTAGCACCAGAGAAGATGACTCGAGCCAGGACTGAGTAGTCCTAGCTCATGCCAGCTCCAGAGCCACCCCCCGCTACAGCTCTGCATTTTAAATGCTTCGTCCCGGCTGGCGCTGAGTCCAGCAGCCCCTATTCGCAGCAGACAGCCCTGGCCACCATGAACAGAGACTGCTCCGGCACCAGCCCCTGTTCATGGCAGGCCGGGCCGGCCCTGCAGACAGGGGCTGCCGCCTGAGCAGCCCTTGCCCGTGGCCAGCCCTCAGCACCACAAATGGGTTGTTTGGCGGCAAAAGCCGCTGTCCACAGGGAGGCCCAGCTCCCTGCTGGGATCCCTGCGAACAGGGGCTGCTTCGCTGCTGTGGGGGAGGAGAAGGGAAGGCAGAGCCCCAGAGATGGTGCTGGGGGGAACTTGCTTTTAAGCTGGCTCCTCCCAACACTAGTTCCTGTCTCCCCCCCCCACTGAGGCAAAGGGGGAGAGGGGGAGGCGCTGTAGAGAGTACAGGGCGAGCAGAGACTGCTTGAGTCCCCGCTTGCCCTGTACTCCCTATGGCACTTCTGCTTTTGAAATGTACAAATACTGTAGCTTCACAGAAAGCACCCGCAGTGGGAACTGAAACGGTCCCTGCTCGTACTGTTTTCCCTGCTGTGCCTCTGCCTCCACTTCCCCTCACAGACACAGTGCTGGGGGGGAGGGGGGAGGGAAATCGGCTTTACCAGTTTCCCCCCAGCACCGGCTCCTGCTCCCTCCCCCTTGCTGCCTCTCTCTGATAGAGCTAGCAGGGGGGAGGAGATGGGAGGTTTGAAATTCCACCTTATGTTGAAGTTATGAAGGGAGGGACAATTAGATTAAATGAACTTCAACCTATTTGACAAAACAGAACACCTGCCTGGTCGGATTGTACTATCCCTTCCAAAGAGATGAAGGCGTCTTCTTCCAAGGCAGAAATGTTCAATGATGTGAAAAATCTCTACAGGCTTTTCTATGTTGCCAATCTCAGGCTCTTCTGTGATAATTAAGTCAATATCAACATTAGCATGGATGAAGTCACCATCTGTACTGCGGCGGACTGTTCCTTTAATTCCCATAAGGCAGTGTTCCTAGACAGAACAAGAAAAACCATTACAGAGGGTGTCTCATCATGAAGGATACTTAAGCCCAATACAAACTATATAAGTACAATGCAATCATTTCTAAATCAGAGGACGACATCAACTGACTAGTGCTCAGCACAAGTTTAGGAAATGTTCTACAAAAACTACATGGCAGGCCCCTATCTTTAAGATAAATTACAAAGGACTAACTCAACATGAACAGGTTTTAAGGTCTTAAAAAAAGAATGAAACAAAGAACAAAGGTAACAAGAACCCTTCTAAAACAATGAGAAGAGAAATCCTAATTTAAAGAGTTTCTGATTGTGTCCATTTTCTGACAGTCAAACTGTCCTGTTAATCAAATTATTCAGGGTCCAAATAGGAATTTATTATAGATTCTAAAGCTGTTTCAAATTACTACTAAAAGGGAAGAGTCATGAAGAGGTATAAGATGGAAAAGAGTCCTTAGATTATCTCTTGAATCCATAAGGAGTACAAGATGGTGCTACAAATAATACCGAGTCAGACAACTCAATGTCCCTCTCCCCCTCCCCCCACTGCACTGGCACAAACATTAAACTAAATCATGATGCTAACAGAGGAGCTACAAAAGGGGAACCTCCTTATTGGGTAGAAGATGAAACGAGGGCTGTGCATACTAATGTCACATGTGAAATTCTTCTGTGAGCACTACACTCAAATGAGCAGTTCTTCTCAGATCATAAAACACTAATTTATTAAGCATTACCCAATGGTTCGCAAAAAAATCGCAGTGTATAATCATTTCCAGATTTTTGGCAGAAGGGTTGGGGTTAGAGAGTGACTGTGAAAAAGCAAAGAAAACTGATCTAGCCAACATATTGAGCTTTCTGACAGCACTTTAGTTTTAGATTTCACCATTTCTCAGACAAATACTCAAGTAGACTAAGACAAAGCACAAAGGATGGCTAGACAAATTACCCATCAGGTCATACCTGGGGCTTACCAGCATATCAGTGAAAAACAATCTTTCTAACATGGGAAATACAGTTTACAAATGCCTCTGCTTTACAATATATTTAAATGAAACAACCTACACCAAGAGATATTAATTTCTTGTCTTAAGTATGACACATGATACTGTAGAGAAAACACTACCTTTTCCACAATCGATAGAGAATATGAATTTGGCCATCTGACAGATGCAAATAAAATTGTCTCTTATGTCTCACATTTTCTTGTTATATATTCCGACACCAACATTGTTATAAAATTCATGTATATACAACATTACACAGGAAAATTCTCAAGTTACCAGCACTCAATAATGTAACTCTGACAAAACTAAATTAAGATCAACCTTATCTCCAATGTACATAAAAGCTTTAAATCCTTAGTCACAAAAAAATTGTAAAATATCTCACCTTTAACAGCTACCATACACAGTAAATAATACTCACCCACACCTATCCCCTATTTACATTAAATGCATATAAACTCCTGGTACAAATCCCATTCAGGTCACAGAAATACAAGTAAGATTAAAGCTCAAAGAGCAATAATCATTGAGATTCAGCTTAATGATCCACCCATGTCAATTTGATGATCAGGTCAGTGAAGTTTTAAATTGTTAAGTCAAGATTTGAGACATAGCTCCTTATAACCACTCCCACAAATCTGTTCTAACTACTATGTAAAACAGTTCCTAGAGACTGTGGCATATTTATATCACTGCAACTCTCACAATGTTAAGTTTTCTAACCTATAAGCTACTCTTACTACTACTCATTCAAGACATCTAATTTGGTCTACATCATCAAGTACATGTTTAATTTGAACCAAAGTTTAATATGCATGCATATGCATTGAAAAGCCTCTTCCTTTTAAGGCACTAGGAGATAACTGCCATACACCTGTATCCTTAAGGTCCATGTTCCTTAAAAAAAAGGTAGAAGAGCATGCCTATGTATGTTTTTCAACATCATTTTTACTGTAAGAGATTAGCAATGTGCTTTTAGAGTGCCCATGTCAATTTATCATTAAAAGCTTTAAAAACAGTAAACATCTTTAAATTAATGAATACTCACGTTGTACAGTCAAACTAAGTAATTCAAACAAAAGCAAATGTTCCCAAAAATCCTGTTGCCATTCTGATTTAGAAGGAAGTTTGTAACTAGTGTGCTCCAGAATTAAATAAATCAGTTTCTATACAGGACTAATGTAAATCCCAACCCAATTTCCATCTATCATTTGAGCAAATAATTAGAGGAAACATTTGTGAAGCCAGCATTTGCTCACACAACATGCATCATTTACATTTCAATGATGAGTTTATAAATTTTGACAAGCTAAAGTTAAAACACAATCAACTCTAGCAAGAGGTAAGTGCAATGAAAGCAATACAAACTTGTATCCCATTTTCATCATCTTAGGGACGGCTGATAGAATGGGAAGCATTTCTAAGAACCCTCTTGAGATTTGAATGAAGAACATACGATTGCATATTTAATCAAACTGAGTAAAGATTCTAGAACTGTTAAGAAATTAAATACCAACTCTGTGAAAACCAATCTATTGAAGAAAATAAGAGAAATCTAAAACCCTAGCACCTATTTTTTTGAAACTACAGAGGCCACTAATTGCAACCCAACATCTGGTGTTTGTTTAGATCAACTGAGAGGGGAGGAGGCACATTCAGATAGACCTGTACCTTTGTTCTTTGGAAAACAGCTTTAGGGTCCAAAGTCTTGGTCTTCCCAGGATTGTTTTTATTTGTTTTAATCCAACAAATATCTTCACATCGTCTGTAACCCCACTTGCGTAGACACTAAAATATTTCAAACAAAAATAGACACAAAGATGCTTGTATTATATCAAATACTGAAATAATGTATTTAAGGTTGACTTTGTAAGATATACTATAATAGGTTTGTCTTCTGTACTTGTTTAAAGGAAGGGGTCAAGCTTCAATATATAAAACATATATCTCCACACTTTTACCATGTTCTGAAATCAAGTTTCGTAGTAGGGATGTTAACTGGCAAAATTTCCTCTAAGCTACATGGCTGCGCAACTATGCAGCTATTTTCTGAGCCACACACAGAGGCAGGGCATCTATAAAGAGCAGCTAAAGGCTGCTCAGTGCTGAACAGAAGAGCTCCCAGAGCAGAAAAGCAGAAGAGATAAGCAGCCAAGATAAGGAGGCAATAAGTGTGTGTGGGGAGGGGGGAAGAGAGTCATTAATTAATTGGCTTGAGGGAAAATCAGAGGGAGGGAAAGTTTGGAGAGTCCTATCTGGGGGGGGCCAGGGGCGGGAGGGCAGGCAGAAGCCTAGCAGACTCTTCAACCCTCCTGGGCTGGGAAGGGGGAGCTAAGGGGCAGACTGTATGGGGTAGGTGGAGGAAAAGAGGGGGTGGGTAGGTGCTGGCATCTGTGAAGTGGTGGCATGGGGCAGTTTGTTTTGGGTGTCAACTTGCTGCCCCCGTGCTCCGCATCTTCCTGGTCTGCTGGTGACCAGCAGACCAGGCTTTTCTCCGGACGCCTGTGGCAGAGCAGTTTCAACAGGCTGAATCTGGACGCCAGTTCGTACATACAGATTCAACTTAAGAACCTCAGGCGCCTCCAAGTCAGCTGCTGCTGAAACTGATCAGTGGCTGATTCCAGGAAGCCGGGGGCAGAGCAACTCTGCCTCGGGCTTCCTGGAATCAGCCGCTGATCAGTTTCAACAGGCTGAATCTGGACGCCAGTTCGTACATACAGATTCAACTTAAGAACCTCAGGCGCCTCCAAGTCAGCTGCTGCTGAAACTGATCAGTGGCTGATTCCAGGAAGCCGGGGGCAGAGCAACTCTGCCTCGGGCTTCCTGGAATCAGCCGCTGATCAGTTTCAACAGGCTGAATCTGGACGCCAGTTCGTACATACAGATTCAACTTAAGAACCTCAGGCGCCTCCAAGTCAGCTGCTGCTGAAACTGATCAGTGGCTGATTCCAGGAAGCCGGGGGCAGAGCAACTCTGCCTCGGGCTTCCTGGAATCAGCCGCTGATCAGTTTCAACAGGCTGAATCTGGACGCCAGTTCGTACATACAGATTCAACTTAAGAACCTCAGGCGCCTCCAAGTCAGCTGCTGCTGAAACTGATCAGTGGCTGATTCCAGGAAGCCGGGGGCAGAGCAACTCTGCCTCGGGCTTCCTGGAATCAGCCGCTGATCAGTTTCAACAGGCTGAATCTGGACGCCAGTTCGTACATACAGATTCAACTTAAGAACCTCAGGCGCCTCCAAGTCAGCTGCTGCTGAAACTGATCAGTGGCTGATTCCAGGAAGCCGGGGGCAGAGCAACTCTGCCTCGGGCTTCCTGGAATCAGCCGCTGATCAGTTTCAACAGGCTGAATCTGGACGCCAGTTCGTACATACAGATTCAACTTAAGAACAAACCTACAGTCCCTATCTTGTACGTAACCCGGGGACTGCCTGTACATTAATTTACAACTCAGTACAGCATTTTACAACATCTAAGAGGTTTATTTTAGATAACTTGATTAATTTAGGAAATAGTACATAATACTCATTACCTGCATCAAACTGCAGATTCAGCAGCAGTACATTAGAAATGGTAAGAATGAAATTACACACAATAGCATTTGTCTCCCGCTCTCAATAATTTACCTGCGGGACAATAGAGTGATGTCATCACAACACTCTGAGTCCCATCTGCCTCCTTCCACCCTCCCTAGTGTTCAGGAGCCAGGGTCGTACCACAGCCTCGTCACACGCCTCCCCCCCCCCTTCCCCAGCAGCGGCAGGGGGATGAGCACAGAGCCTGGCAAGGTATTGGCCTGCCCCTCCCCTCACCACCTGGCAGCCAGGGGGGAGAGCAAGAGGCTGGGGAGGCCTCGGCCCAGCCCTCCGCCCTGGTGGCTGGGGAAAGAGAGCCCCTTGGCCCTCCTCATTGGCTGGGGGGTAGAGGAGGAGAGTGGGGCTGGCACGGCCCAGAGGGCGGGACGGGAGGAAGGGGCTAGATCCGGGGCTGGTGCAACCTGGGCCCTGCCCAACAGCTGGGGAGGGGAAGAGGACAATTTAGGGTTGGCACTTCTTAGCTGGTCCCCCTGGCAGCTGAGGGGAGAGCCAGGGCTGCCTACCTCCAGAGAGAGGGTGGTTGGTGACCATAAGAAACAGGGGGTGCAGCCCCCTAGTATTTTATTGAATATTAAATGTTACATATATGTTTCACTTTTGTAATTGCAGCTGTCTCCTGAGTTGCCAGTTGATGTCTGTCCTTAAACTTTTTTTTTAATTTTCAAATTTTATTAACTCTAAGCAGACAAGTCCTCAAAACACTAAATGAACAGTGTCCTTATAACTTCTACAACTAACTCTTTTATGTTATTTCATTCTTGCAGCTAGAACCTGTATCATCTTCTTGCATTGCTTATACTTGACACATTTTCCTTTTTACCCACAGACTGAGTTTCTTCAAATATTCCCAAATAGGGTCTCTCTCTTATGACCAAAAGTCGTGACAGTTTTTCTATGGCAAAACTGTGGGGGAATATAAGAAGCTGTGTGCGTGCTGAATATGGTCTTCCCTTTTTTCCTTCCCGTCCACTCCAATTCTCTTTTCTATGCTGTCTCCATGCTTTCCTATATGTTGTCTCTGTCTTTAAGATAATGTCTTAACTAACTCCTCTGCCATCATTAGTCCAAACCAACCATCACGTAAGTAGAGAAGAAAAACAATCTTGTACAGCCTGTTTCTTTCTTTGCACGTATTACGTTAGTCTGCTAAGAAACAGAAATTGAAAGGCCAGAACTTTCAAGAAGCAAGAGCTGCACAGACTAGAGCCATTAATTCATTTTTATGAGACTGTAGGTGCAGGATGTTTGTGATGAAATATAATTGCAATTTTTAGATAAGAAGTTTAGTATTTTATTGATTTTTTTTTTAAATCTGAATTTTGATTTTAAAAAGTCATTGATTTTTAACCACCCTGGCTCTGTTCAGCTAAGGAAGCTACACTGCAAGAGATGAAAGATTTTAAAGCTCAAAAATGTTTCTACAGGGATCAGAATAAAAGATATATGGTAAATAAGAGTATGCCTGAATTTAGGGTAGATACAGACACATTACTGCATAACAAAAAAAATTATACTACAACTTTGTACACCTCACTAAAAATATCACTAAGAGCTTAAACTCAACTTAAAAAAAAAATAAAGCTAACAGAGTTTATTCTAGTTCACTGAAAAACTAACATTCTGCTGCTATTTGTTTAGATTTCTGCACAGTGACGTAATCATCTAGAACTGTGGTTCTCAACTGGTGGTCCATGGTGACTTTTTTGGAGGTCCACAGGAACATTGTCCAAAGTCACACGGCGTTAGCAGGCGCCACCGTTAGGCTGTTTTACGCCTTGTTCACAAGCACGCGGTGCATCACCCATAACGTCACCTAGGACGCAACCGTGTTGTTTTGCCAGTAACTTCTGTCTGAGGCTCTGAGCATCAGCATAGCTGCTGCCGTCGTACTGAACGGTTGCTGGGTCGTTCGTCTTGTGCTACACGTGCTGGAGGTGGTCCATGAAAATTTTTTGATTGGCCTGGTGGTCCATGGACTGAAACAAGTTGAGAACCACTGATCTAGAATAAGGCACCCTACTATTACTGCAATCACATACAAACTAGAAATAAAAATATAATTTAGCTCTTTGGAGAACACAAACTGTATTCATCCTCAGATATTTACAATTACACATCAGGAAAACAAGTGTCTAAAGGATTAATTTCCCCTCTTTACCACTTATCGTAACAAAAAACCCTTCAGCATTTAAAACTGAAGTGTCTATGCAAAGCAAAGAGACCTTCATAGGCGACTTGCATGAATGTTTATTTTGTCTCAGCCTAGACTTAATTTAAAATATGTTCTTACCACTCTGCCAAGATCCAGACCCTCTCCTGAACCACACCACAGAAAAACAAAAGACCGTGAGGCTGCAATCTCTTCAATTTCCAGTTTCATAATCTACAAAAACAGAATGGGACAAAATGTTGCATCAAGAAGAACATTTACTGTATATTTAATACTGCTGTGTCAACCTTAAAATACATGTTTTTAGCATTTATCTAGATCAGGCATGGGGAACTTCAGGCCCTGCGGCAGAATGTTGCCCCTGGCTTGTCTGGATCTGGTCCCTAAGGTTCAGGGCTCCCCCCACCCCAGATTTGGGGAGCCTGCACGGACACTCCAACCACCACGGGCTGGAGCACACAAAATCTACTAGCCTGGGCCTCTCTAGACTCTGGTGTGCAAGGGGAATGTGGGGAGCACCCTTCTTTCGCTCAGCTGGGAGCACCAACTTTTGCAGTTGTGATGTGTGTGTATTTTGGGGGGGGGGGGGGGGTTTGGTTCTCAGTTTGTTCAAATTTTACATTTAATTTGGACACTGAAATGTGTCTAAAAATGGAAAATTCAGCCACACCCTGAGAGTTCTAAGGGGAGATAAAAGGAGCCTCATTCTCTTCCCTAGTGCCACTTCAAATATATTTGCAGGAGAATGGACTATAAAATTATTTTATAATGTTTAACTGGTTAACCAACTAAGTGGAAGCCTGACTGGCTCTGCCAGCTTCCAGCCTGCACGCTGGGGCTAGGACTAGCGCTGGCTCCCAGCTCCCAGAGCAGCTCCTGCCTGTGGCCACCCAGGCCTGCCATGGACGGGGGCTAATCTGTGCAAGAGCAGGC